TAAAAATAGATACCAATAAAATTACATTAAGTTTGCAGACGACACCAAATTGGGAGGGAGAGCCAATACTCCAGAGGACAGGAGCAGGATTCAAAACGATCTTGACAGATTAGAGAGATGATTGGCCAAAACTAACAAAATGAAGTTCAACAGGGACAAATGCAAGATGCTCCACTTAGGCAGAAAAAAACGAAATGCAAAGATACAGAATGGAGGACAATGCCTGGCTCGAGAGAAGTACGTGTGGAGAAGATCTTGGAGTCCTCGTGGACAACAAGTGAAACATGAGCCAACAATGTGATGTGGTGGCAAAAAAAGCCAATGGGATTTTGGCGTGCATTAATAGGAGCCTAGTGTCTAGATCTAGGGAAGTCATGCTCCCCATGCTCTATTCTGCTTTGGTTAGACCACACCTGGAGTATTGTGTCCAATTCTGGACACCACAATTCAAGAGAGATATTGACAAGCTGGAATGTGTCCAGAGGAGGGTGACTAAAATGATCAAGGGTCTGAAGCCTTATGAGGAGTGGCTTAAGGAGCTGGGCATGTTTAGCCTGAAGAAGAGAAGGCTGAGAGGAGATATGATAGCCATGTATAAATATGTGAGAGGAAGCCACAGGGAGGAGGGAGCAAGCTTGTTTACTGCTTCCTTGGAGACTAGGACGCGGAACAATGGCTTCAAACTAGCCTGCAGAAGAGAATCATAGAATCATAGAGTTGGAAGAGACTTCGTGGGCCATACAGTCCAACGCCATTCCGCCAAGAAGCAGGAATATTGCATTCAAAGCACCCCTGACAGATGGCCATCTGTTTAAAAGCTTCCAAAGAAGGAGCCTCCACCACACTCCGGGGCAGAGAGTTCCAAAGCTCTTTCTCATGTTCAGATGGAATCTCCTTTCTTGTAGTTTGAAGCCATTCTTCCATTGCGTCCTAGTCTCCAGGGAAGCAGAAGACAAGCTTGCCCCCTCCTCCCTGTGGCTTCCTCTCACATATTTATATATGGCTATCATATCTCCTCTCAGCCTTCTCTTCTTCAGGCTAAACATGCCCAGCTCCTTAAGCCACTCCTCATAGGGCTTGTTCTCCAGACCCTTGATCATTTGCATCACCCTCCTCTGGACACATTCCAGCTTGTCAATACCTCCATGGCTTCCTCTTCAATTTGGAGAGCTTTTATTTTGAGACATTGGCTTCTTCGCTCGCCAGGCGCACAAACTTACAGGGACAACTCAATGTTGGTGCCGACTGCTGCTTATTGAACCCAGTATCCGCGGCACAGATCTCACTATCCGCGGTTGCCTTAAATTGCTGTATTTCAAAGCTACAATTCCAAGGTGCCATAAATTATCATACAACTACCATAGGTGCCAAGGTGGGGATGCATCTACATGGAGAATTACTGAAGTTTAACACCACTTTAGTCCCCCATTGTTTGGTGAGGTATCCACACTCTTTGGCGGAGAAGGCTAACGCAGAAGATCGCCCATTCCCCCTCTTTTTTCATACTCTGCACAAAGGATTACTGCTTAATCTGATTTGGGAACCACCAAAAATCTGGCCCTACATGCTTTTTTCTCCCCACATCCCTTCAATTTTGGTTCCCCCCCCCCCTCTTTTCCCACTTACTGCCTTGATTTGTATTTCACCCTGCAGTGCGTGTTAGAACGAAAACATTAAAATGTTACACAGACTTTTCAACTTAGGGTCTCTGTTCTCCCCTCCCTGCACATTTTTCACATTAGCCGATATTCCCCTGCCTGAGTTAAACTTAAGCAGGTCTGGAACAACTTCATTAGCATAAAACCACATGATAATAGAAAGCAGAGCTATTTAATGGTTTATTTTCTTATTATCTTGTGCTATATTTCATCCTCCCTTCCCCTCTGCCGCCTTTCTCTCTCTCGCTGCTACTACACTCGTTCCCAGATTTCGCTCGGGTTGCTGTTTCCAATACGACTCCCGCTCAGCCAGAGAAGTGACACAGAACAGGGCCATGAAATCCACCCCATGGAAACTATGCGGGGAATCAAGCGTAGCCTCCAGCTCTCCCAGTTTGGCAGGGATGGTGCCACCAGTTCCAGATCTGTCCAGCTAAACGTTCCAGATCTGTCTGGATGGAAGTCCCATGAGTTCCCGATCTGTCCATCTGGAAGTCCCATGAGTTCGGGATCTGGTTAGCTAAAAATCCCATGACTTCCAAAGTCTATCCAGATGTCACATGAGTTCCAGATCTGATCAGATGGAATGCCCATGAGTTCCATATTTGTCCAACTGGCAGTCCCATGAGTCACAGATCTGTATAGCTCAAAGTCCCATCAGTTCAAGATCTGGCTAGCTGGAATTCCCATGATTTCCAATGTCTACCCAGATGGAAGTCCCATGAGTTTCCAGATCTGTCCAACTGTAAGTCCCGTGAGTTCTAAAATCTATCCAGATAGAAGTCCCATGAGTTCCAGATCTGTCCATCTGGAAGTCCCATTAGTTCCAGCTAGCTAGAAATCCCATGACTTCCAAGGTCTATCCTTATGGAAGTCCCATGAGTTCCAGATCTGTCCATCTGCAAGTCCCATTAGTTCCAGCTAGCTAGAAATCCCATGACTTCCAAGGTCTATTCTTATGGAAGTCCCATGAGTCCCAGATTTGTCCAGATGGAAGTCCCATGAGTTCCAAAATCTATCCAGACAGAAGTCCCATGAGTTCCAGATCTGTCCAGATAGAAGTTCCATGAGTTCCACATCTATCCAGATGGAAGTCCCATGAGTTTCAGATCTGTGTAGATGGAAGTTCCGTGAGTTCCCGATCTGTCCATCTGGAAGTCCCATTAGTTCCAGATCTGGTTAGCTAGAAATCCCATGAGCTCCAAGGTCTATCCTTATGGAAGTCCCATAAGTTCCAGATCTGTCGAGATGGATTGTCCATGACTTCCAGCTCTGTTCAACTGGCAGTCCCATGAGTCACAGATCTTTATAGCTGTGACTATCTGGCTAGCTGGAAATCCCATGACTTCCAATGTCTACCCAGATGGAAGTCCCATGAGTTCCAGATCTGTACAATGGGAAGTTCCATGAGTTCCAAAATCTATCCAGATAGAAGTCCCATGAGTTCCAGATCCATCCAACTGGCAGTCCCGTGAGTTCCAAAATCTATCCAGATAGAGGTCCCATGAGTTCCAGATCTGTGCAAATGGAAGTTCCATGAGTTTCAGATCTGTCTGGATGGAAGTTCCACAAGTTCCAAATCTATCCATATGGTAGTCTCATGAGTTCCAAATCTGTCCAGATGGAGGTCCCATGAGTTCCAGATCTGGGTGGCTGGAAGTTCCAGATGGAAGCCCCATGCATGACAAACAAAGAGTTGGACGCCCTGTGACAGCAACCACAGAGTTTCACAAGCAAAAGATTGACAGATTGATTCAAGACCATTGTCGTATTACTCAGAGAGAAATTTCAAACATAATCGGCATTTCAAAAGAACATGTGGGTCACGTTATTGCTTGGCTATTGGAAAATCTGCACACGATGGGTTGCAGAAACAGTGTCGACTTCTTCTGTGACAGCTTCAGAAAACTTGTTCATCATTGGCAGAAATGTATCCAATTGTCTGGTGATTATGCCAAAAAGTGAATAGTGGTAAAGAGCACATTCTAAGGATTATTTCTGCGTTTGATTTATGAAAATATCCCCATCCAAACCCAAGTAACAACGGTGGTGGCATTACTTTTCATTCAACCCTTGTAGATGACAGACTATCAGGCTGAGAATTGTGCCTTTCATTTATGTGTTCTCCATGAATCAAAGTTGACCTGCTTGCAATTAGCCACATCAACTATCAGTATAATACACAGGGCGACTATAATGATCAAGGGTCTGAAGAACAAGCACTATGACGAGCGGCTTAAAGAGCTGGGCATGTTTAGCCTGAAGGAGAGAAGGCTGAGATGAGATATGATGTATAAGTATGTGAGAGGAAGTCATAGGGAGGAGGGAGCAAGGTTGTTTTCTGCTTACAGGGAGACTAGGACAAGTGCTAAGAAACCAGAATGGATGTCCAAAGAACTACTAACTGTGCAAAGATTCAAAAGAGACATGCACAAGAAGTGGAAAAAGGGAGAAATCACCAAAGAAGAATTCAAACAAATAGCCAGCTCCTGTAAGGAAAAGGTTTGCAAGGCTAAAGCACAAAATGAGTTCAGGCTTGCCAGGGACGTTAAAAACAAAAAAAAAGGGTTTATTTTCTTATGTCAGTAGAAAAAGTCATAGGAAGGAGGGAGCAAGCTTGTTTTCTGCTGCCCTGGAGACTAGGATGCGGAACAATGGCTTCAAAGTATAAGAAAGGAGATTCCCTCTGAACATTAGGAAGACTTTCCTGACTGTGAGAGTCATTCAGCAGTGGAATTCTCTGCCCCGGAGTGTGGTAGAGGCTCCTTCTTTGGAAGCTTTTAAACAGAGGCTGGATGGCCATCTACCAGGGGTGCTTTGAATGCAATATTCCTGCTTCTTGGCAGAATGGGGTTGGACTGGATGGCCCATGAGGTCTCTTCCAACTCTATGATTCTATGATTCTATCCCTTGGTATATGCTCAGGTTCCAGAACACCCATGGATACAAAAAACCATGGATGCTCAAGTCGCATTATATGCAATGGTGTTCTAAAATGATGTTCTTATATAAAACTAGCTTTACTCGCCACACATTGCTGTGGCCAGCCTTCTCTCACTCTTTCTCTGCTTCTTTCACTCCTTCCTTCATTCTGTTTTCTTCTTTCCTTTCTTCCTTCTCTACCTGTTT